ATAGATAAGATCCCTAAAGTTGCAAAGACTAAAGTCTCAAACCCAAAGAGATGTTCTTTATAAAATTTAAGACTTGTCCACACCCTCCTAAAACGCCTCATTCTAACACGCCCCCACATGTCTACGTCACTGTGTGGGAAGATTTGCATAACACCTCCCAAATGTTCATGTTAAGAAAGAAGGCGTAACTTTTATTCTCGCTGTAGTATTGTTGTTGCCGCCGCCATGTCATGAAGACGCTGTGTGTTTCGTTGTGAAAGCGAAACTACTTTGTTTGGCCTTCCAAAAGAGGACGATATCCGCTTCGTCATGCCTAGAGCTGATCCGTGCTGGTCGCTGAGGAAATACATCAACTTCGCGCGGTCGATCGCCGGATCGGCTTTCACCGTGGACGAAGCGGAGTCCAGCCCGGGGTCGTCACATGTGGCTGCCGCAAGCCCGATCACAAATGCAGACATGGTTTTATGTTTCGTAAAATGACAGTGTAAGTCATTATGATCAGTAATTATGTCCCCATTGGACGCAACTAATGCCTCGTTTGTAATGGGTTTTATTGGTGTTGCCTCATCGCGCTGGGACACGGCATCACAGTATGGTAAGGGGCGTAACATTTCCGTCACACGCTTGAGGTATTCAGCCAATCACAACGCACTGGATAGCTGGCCAATCAGAGCACACCTCGCTTTTCAGACCGATGAGCTTTGTAAAAATCGACGCATTTCAGAAAGGTGGGGCATAGAGGAGAAATTTTTACCTTAAACCACATAAACACATTGCATTACACCAAATACTCAACATAATGTTATTTTTAGCAACGTCATATGACCCCTTTAACTGAATTTATCCCAGTAATTAAGGATTTACATAGTTACAAAAAAATATGGTTGCATTTCAGCCACTCCTCTCGACATGGTTCGCAAAAGCAATAAACTTCTTGTTCTTAAGATAAGAAATATCTCTGACGTAAAAACTGTAAAGATCTTCCTGTGGGACTGTTGAGTAACCGTATGACAGACTTTGGTTCATTTGCTCATTAAAACAGCGACTTATCTAGTGCTGAATGATTGATCTGGAAAATTGTACCAAGTTCCAGGGAAAATGCCAACTGCTCTGCCTATTTGGTATGAACTTTCACATACACAAGTCCAGTTATGAGAATAAAAAGATGCATTAGTTCTACTAGCTATCATCACACCTACAAAAATATATATTCAGCAGTGTCTATTGTTGATGGCTGGATGATTGTGACATCATATTTAAAGGTGGGCTGTACGGTGGAGGCGGCATGTTGGAAGTGTCCATCTCTGAATCTGGAGTACCTCGAACATCAGAAATGCTTAATTTAAAGCTGGACTGTAAAAAAAACAAAACAATTAAAAGTATCAGAAGTCTGTTGAAACAGCATTTCAACATACTGTGCATAGAAATGCATTCTGTAGATAAAACTAGCTTAGTAGGTATTAGTTAGTTTGAGCTAATGACAAACCCTGACCATCTGAAAAGTAGACTGGTTGACAATCTAAGACCAGTTTAGCTTTTTAGATAGATAGACAGATGTACCTCTGCATATGATGGTGGCGGACACACTAGCTCATATGGTGGTGGTGTGAACTCAGAATCATCATGAGAGTTTGTCTCGTCTCGTTCGTCTCTCTCTTCTCTCACATGAATGGGATTGGGAATCACGTAGACATGGTCGCTGTTCGACAGGTCGAGATCCGAGTCAGTGTCTGAGACTTTACTGCAGAGTTTGCAGCAGTACCTCAGTATGCACAGACTCACAGTCAAAACCAGCAGCGGCGTCAGCCACGTCCTGCATCATCAGACAAACAACGTATTGCTTACATACAGAAAGATCTTACGAAGATCTGATGAGCGTCATACTTACTGGATATAGTAAAGTATATAATCAGCCATTAAAGTGGGCAGGAAAGTCTGCAGAGAAAAAAATGTTAAATATTAATATTAAATATCAATGTACATCTGTACGTGATCAGGACAAGTTACCATAGCTTTGTGTAAAATGCAATTGATTTAATGACTTTAATGGGCTCACTATTCGTGTACAGATCTATGAATGTATTAAAAAATGCAGCTGATACATACACGGATTTGAATACATCTTCTATAGTGAAAGTTTGGTCACACTTTAGAGACCAGTTCTCTCTATTAACTAACTATTAACTATGACTTTTGCCTCAAAAATCTACCAATTTGCTGCTTATTAATTGTTAATATAATGAGGTAGTTGTTAAGTTTAGGTATTGGGTAGGATTATGGATCTAAAATATGGTCATGCAGAATAAGGCATTAATATGTGCTTTATAAGTACTAATAAACAGTCAATATGCTAGTAATATACATGCAAATAAGCAATTAAGTAATAGTGACAATTGGTCCCTAAACTAAAGTATTACCGAAAGATTTTTATTTCTGAATTTTTTTTTTTTTTGTGGATATTAAAGTCAAAATGCAAAGACTGTGTATTAAAACGCATAAATTATTTTTAAAAAATTAAAGAAATAGAGGTTTAAGCTTTTTCCCCCTAAATAAAAATGAATGTGATTTTCAGTCTTTTAGATGGCATGGACCCCCAAAATCAATCATCTTTGTGTGAGGGATACTTACATTTTAAAGTCAGCTATATATATACTTTTTACATTTTTGCTTTATTTTTTATTTTTGACATAGTTATACCTGGTATAACCATTTAGAATACCATAAAAAGTAAATATTTCACATAGCGGGCCCCTGTTGTGTTCAGGTTGTCAAATGTCAAAATATGTAAAAAAAAAAAACTACTTGTAGTTTTAAACTACGTCTGAATTTGTCTCTAACGATCTTAAATTACTTTTGTAGACAAATATAAATGGTGCCCACGAGAAAAGTTTTTCAAACCTAACACTTTAATTTCAAACTAAATTAATGAGTTGGAGTGGATAGTGAAGGAAAAAGAGTCAGAAAGTGTCTAGGATATATGTGAACATCAGTATGTGACCCTGGACCACAAAACCAGTCTTAAGTCGCTGGGGTATATTTGTAGCAATAGCCAAAACTACATTGTATGGGTCAAAATTATAGATTTTTCTTTTATGCCAAAAATCATTAGGATATTATGTAAAGATCATGTTCCATGAAGCTTTATTTTTTATTTTTGACATAGTTATACCTGGTATAACCATTTAGAATACCATAAAAAGTAAATATTTCACATAGCGGGCCCCTGTTGTGTTCAGGTTGTCAAATGTCAAAATATGTAAAAAAAAAAAAACTACTTGTAGTTTTAAACTACGTCTGAATTTGTCTCTAACGATCTTAAATTACTTTTGTAGACAAATATAAATGGTGCCCACGAGAAAAGTTTTTCAAACCTAACACTTTCATTTCAAACTAAATTAATGAGTTGGAGTGGATAGTGAAGGAAAAAGAGTCAGAAAGTGTCTAGGATATATGTGAACATCAATATGTGACCCTGGACCACAAAACCAGTCTTAAGTCGCTGGGGTATATTTGTAGCAATAGCCAAAACTACATTGTATGGGTCAAAATTATAGATTTTTCTTTTATGCCAAAAATCATTAGGATATTATGTAAAGATCATGTTCCATGAAGATATTTTGTAAATTTCCTACCGTAAATATATCAAAACTTCATTTTTGATTAGTAATATGCATTGCTAAGAACTTCATTTGGACAACTTTAAAGGCGATTTTCTCAATATTTTGCTGTTTTTGCACCCTCAGATTCCAGATTTTCAAATAGTTGTATCTCGGCCAAATATTGTCCTATCCTAACAAACCATACATCAGTGGAAAGCTTATTTATTCAAGATTGACGCTTTCAGATGACGTATAAATCTCAATTTCGAAAAATTGACACTCAAGACTGGTTTTGTGGTCCAGGGTCACATATGGTTTAAAAAGCATCTTAAATCTATAACAATGTGCTTTTCATAGCCTCAAGCAAGCTCCTTATCGCCGAACTGTTTATTCTATTTTTTTTCTTTCAGGAACTTCGATTAGTTGAATTAAAACTGTTGTAAAAAGTATGCACCGTTTTAACATTCTAGTTTTTTTTTTAGAAATGCCATACTCACAGTTGTTATGTCATCAGACCCAAAGCAGAAGAAAGTGGAAGTCAAAGTCAGTTAGACTGTACGTGCTTTCCAAAAGTGACTGGAACGTCTGTAGAGGACTTTGAGCTGCACACTTACTGGCAGCAGTCATCCGGGGTTGGGTTTGTAAACAGCACAGTTTACACCATGCAGAACTGAGAATGACTTTCAATTCCATTTCATTTCTGATACAGACATCAAATTTAAAACAGAACTAGAATCAAATGAACAGATTTTTTTCAAGCTGGTTTTAAATAATGCATTTAATTTTTTATTATATTAACAATCAGAGTTTCAATCCATGAACATTTGTAATTACTTTATACATCTCTTAGAATACATTAGTGAACTTTTATTAACATTTATTTCAGTTAAAGTATCTTGGCTTATTTCCCACAATGCTCTAGTTATTATGCAATCAATTCCCCCCCTTTTTTTTTTTTTTTTTAAATCTGAAAACAAAGTGGTGGACTTTTCTGGTCATGGGAAAATTAAAAAGTGTTTTGATGTCCATGTTAAGAATTTTGACAGTATTGAGCTCATTTTAATGAAATGACAATTAGGAACAAATAACTCATGTTTAACCACAAAACCAGCATTGGACTAATGAAAGAATTCAGACTCTAATTCAAATTCACACTCATTAAGCGAAAGAGCTCTTTTAAATGTAAAGTCTCCTCTTCTCTGATAAATACATATGCTTTTATTTGAAACCCAGCAAATGCATCATTCCAATTCAAATGTCCTGGACAGAAAAGACTGAAACAATGCATACTCCGCATTAAAGATTCATAATCATGCAATGTAGTTACAAATGCTTCTGTGTGCGAATGAAGTTCTAATTTAGGTCGTTACTTTTAGTTTGGGGATTCTGTGCTTTTTTTTCTTCTTCTTTGGCCTTTGTCTTCAAAAAATCATTTAAGCCGTTACAGTGAAGGTCTATGTGACAATCAACTTTTGTCAATGTAAGTGCATTTCTAAGTGCAGTTTTTTTAACAAGTGGAAAGAAAAACAGATCATGCTAATTGAGAAACAATTTATTTTGAATACATTTGGGTGATGAAGCAACTTAAAGACACAAAAAAAGTGCACATTACATAGTCTAATGTTTACTTCCAGAGCTTCTTGATGGACATGTTTTTCTCACTGTCTTTCTGCATCACCTGTAAACATACAGTATATTATAAATGAGAGCTATCCACGGAAAACAAATATTTTCCCATAAAAAGAATTGGTAGGTTTAAATATTATTTGTACCAAAAGCACGATCGAAAAAGAAAATGATTTCAGTACCTTTGCTACTGCCATTTCAAAATCTTCTTGGGTAACGTGGACTCGCCTCTCTCTCAGAGCATACATCCCTGCCTCTGTGCAGACACCCTGTCAGACAAGCACAAATAAAAACAGCTTGTTGAAATGTGGCGTATAGATGTCTGTAAATGACTGAGACCTCACCTTTAGAGGTCTGCAAGCCCGTCGGGTCCCGACACGCTGAGTTGGGCCATTTTTAATTTTTTTTATTTTAAACAGATCGGGCTTAGGCTCATTCAGCTTCTCTCCTTTTATTGTGCCCATATACGCGCAGGCAGCACATAGGCTACTGTATGAAATATTGTTATATTGATTATATTATAAATATTATACATCGCCTATGCAATACGCAACGCATATACGCATGCATTAGCATACAGGTGACAGTAGACCATGCAGAGCATCAGGGAGAAGTTGGAGTGTGGGGAGTTACTAAAAGTTCCCAATGCTTCGGGACAAGCTGCATTTTGGTACAGTTTTGATTCGATTACCACCACAAACAGTGAGCCAAACTGGTCATGTGCAGTGCAGAATCTGCAAACATATCCTTGCACATAACAGCAAAAAACGCACGCAATAGGCTAAAGCGTGCCGCAAAGCCCCAGCAAAAGTAATTACCATGAATGTGTCAGGGGCAAATAGTAAGGAGATATTTGAGTTATTTATTAATAAATTAGTGTTTTCTGAGTCCGTGTCGCAAAGATGAAGATCCTGACTCGCTATCTCCTCATTAGACATGCCTTTAGAGAGAAGTGCATCTTTACGGATTTTATAATGAAAGAAATTTTGTTTTAGATTTGTTTTATTTAGTTTTAAAGTAGTAATTTAAAGCTTTCTATGCATGTATCCTTTATTTTATAAAAGCACAACATTTTGTT